AGCTCTGGGAGGGGAGCAGGGTCTGGGGGTCAGAGCAGGGGGGCTGGGGGTCAGGACTCCTGGCTTCAGTTCCCAGCTCTGATGTCACCTCCCCGTGTCTCCTTGAGTGAGGCATTTAACCCCTCCCTGCCTCTGGGAAATGGGGATGGGGATGGGGGCTGTTCCCTGCCCTGCAATGCAATGGCGTGAGCCCCCTGCCCTGCTGCCCGGCCAGGTGGGCAGACATGTCAGTCGCTGCTACCTGGGGAGTCTCCCTGTGCTCTTGGGGGTGGGGGGACTGCTTCTGCCCCTGATCAGATCCAGGGCCCCGCCCACCAGTGGGGAATGGCCTTACTCCGGAGTGACTCCTGCTCCGCTGGGGACGATTGAGGGGAAGAGCAGAACCAGATCAGCCCCCGGCCCCAGCGAGGGCCGCACCTACCTCCAGCTCGTAGAAGGCCATGAGCACGGCGAAGCTGCTGAGGTGATTGCACTGGCAGCGGGTGATGGTGGCGTTCAACTTCTGCAGGGTGCAGCCGTGGGTGGCCCAGCGCCTGCTGCTGTGCTCCCAGTAGGCGCAGAGGAGGCGCAGGTCAATCTTGGACTCCTGGGGACAGAGAGACGCTTGGGGCATGGGTGGGCAGGAGGGGGTATGAGGGGTTGGGCTGGGCTGGGGGCACAGAACATCAGTTTGTCCCTGGGTGGGACCCCTACTGCCCGGGGTGGGGGCTGTCACTAGAGATGGGCCCGGCTCTGCCCTCCAGCGACCCAGGCACTCCTCCCCCCATGCCCAGCCCAGGGGCTCACCGGCACCGGGTGGCTGAAGCGGATGCTGACGGAGAGGCCGAGTGCCTGGGGGTTCGGGTCACTGATGAAGGCCGACACCACCGGAGACACCACACGGTAGCTGGGCCGCCCGGGCTTCTGCGCCCACTTCCCCGTCTGGCCGATCTCGTCCCACTCGGGCGCCTCCACCCGCCCAGCACCATCCAGGATGGGGCTCATCCCCTGGTATGTCAGCAGCCCGGCCAGCGTGAAGCCTGCGAGAGACAGAGGAGATGGATGAAATGGGGGCAGGAGGGGCCCTGGGGCAGACTGGTGCCAGGGGGCGCTGTGCTGCTGGCGGTGCTGCCCCCAATGCCCTGGCTGTGCCCATCGCTATACCCACCCCAGCACAGGGGATGACCACATACCTTCATTTTTCTGCCCTGGGGCTCCGGCCCACTTTAATTCCATCTGCGTCTTGCTCTGCTGCAGCGTCACGGTCTCCTGGCTCTGGTTCCCAGCCTGCCTGACCGCCAGCCCCAGCTCTGCAACCACAATGCCAGCCAGGGCTCACAACAGAGAACATGGAGAGGAAGACTGTAGCCAGGCAAGGTGCTTTCCTGACTGTGGGGGGAGCTCCTGACTACTCCAGTCCCAGCCTCTCCCAGCAGGGGGCACTATGGGGAGTGGGGCTGGAGAACTTGCTGTGGGGGGGGGAGCTCCCGTCTCCCAGCAGGGGGCACTGTGGGGAGTGGGGCGGGAGTGTAGGCTGTGGGTGATGAAAGTCCAACTGGGGCCACGTGGCCAGGTGCTGACCTGTGCCATTGGTGGATGCGATGCTGATCGTGCTGTCACGCAGGGTCAGGGCCAGCGTTCTCAGCAGCTTCTCCACTATTGCCATCAGCTCCGTCGCGATCTGGTGTCTCCGCTCCACGCTCTCGCTCTGCTGCCCGACCAGATTTATCTGCTTCTCCAGAATGTCCAAGAAGCCCTGGCCAAGCAAACGTGGGGGGTGTTGGTGTCACAGTGCCTGAGCCCCTGCCGTGCCCCCCATTCCTAGATTGCTAGTCCTCCACTGCCTTCCCACAATCCCCCTGAAAGGAAAGACAAGTTCTCCTGCAATTGACATCACTGCTTGGGAGGTCAGACTAGATGATCACAATGGTCCCGTCTAGCCTAGGAACCTAGGAGAACAGCTTGTTGGGCACAGAGCCCCCTGGAGAGGCAGGCATGGGAATTTCTGGGCAGTGCTGCTGTTTATTTCTCTCCTGTTCCAGGCAGTGCATCCCTATGGATCGCCCTGAGACTAGATCCGAGTAGGAGCAGCGATTCCTCCCCCTAACGGGAACAAACCCAGCAAGGCCCCGAATTTTGGCTTGGCACCTGCAGCTGCCCCATCACAGCCTCAGCGCTCTGAGCCTTCATCTGCTTCAGCTCCTCCAGCGCCGCTTTGCAGAGACGTCCCATCTGTGCCGGGAAGCTGCCCAGGAGGTTCTGCAGAACAAGGCCCAGGCCTGGCTCAGGAAAAGAGATCACAGAATCGCAGCCCACCTCCCGCCGTCCCGAGAGGCTCCCTCGGCTCAGAAGCCAGGCGCCAGAGGGAGCGCGGGCAATGCCCCGTCTGGCCCCTAGGGGGTACACGGTGTTTGCAAGGGATGGGGGGGGACGGCGTTTGCAAGCTGAAGCGAGTTGCAGCAGCCTGATGCTGCCGATCCTGGAGGGTGAGAATCACCCCGGGGCAAAGGCCTAGGCCGTGGCTGGACTGCAGGGGCTCCAGGGACTGGCCACTGGCTCTTTGCCCAGGGGCGAGTTTGGCCCCAGAATCCTCGTGGGGTGAGATCAGGGAAAAGCAACGTGGCACTAAAGGGGAATCGGGGTCTATCCCCCCCCCCGGGGTCTGTGCCCCGCTCACCTTGGCTTCGGTAGAGTTGTCATCATCCAGCAGCGGGGGGCAGGTGAGCTCTGGGGATGAAAAGGGAGGAGGAGTGAGAGATGGGTGGGGGAAATGCGGGGTCTGGCTGGGTAGGTGCATGCACCAGAGCCAGGCACACAGAGCAGGACTCATTCCCTCCAGCAGGGGGCGGCAGCAGCCCCCCTCACTCCCTCTGGCAGGGACACACCCAGCCCATGTCAGTGATATGGGTGTAATTGATCCTCTCCCAGCAGGAGGAGCAGTGACCCCCCACACACAGACTCAGTCCCACACATGTGCCCAGCCCCTTCTCCCCATCCTCTGCCCACAAGCTGGTCTCTGTGAAAGGAACCGTCCCCCCTCCCCGTCCTAGGGGAACTGAATCGCAGTGGGGTGGGGCGGGGGCTGTGGAATGATCCCAGCCGTATCTCCCCTCAACCCTCTCCCCCCAGCTGTGCGTGAATTTGGTGTGTGTTGGGGGAGAATCCAGCAGGGAGCCCCGGGCTGGCCCCACAGTGGCCTCTAGGCCCAGACTGCGCCCCCTGCTGCCATCTTCCCAGGGCAGAGAATCCAGCCGTGCAGCAGGAATACAGGCACTGCTGGGCAGTGCTGCCCAGAGGTTGGGGCAAGTGGAGCAATTTGCCCTGGGCCCCACAGGGGCCCCCAGGAGAATATAGTATTCTATAGTATTGCAAATTTTTTTTATGGAAGGGGCCCCCAAAATTGCTTTGCCCCAGGCCCCCTGAATCCTCTGGGCAGCCCTGCTGCTGCGGGGGGGAGAGACGCCCAGCCCCTGGCTGCCCTGCTCACCCCTTCCCCAGCCTGGCCCCTGCTCCACTCCCAGAGCCAGACATGGGCACGCTGGTGGCTGTGGCTCTGAGACAACCGGAGACACCCCAGTGGACGGACAGGCTGGGCTGGGGGGGTGAGAGCCTGGAGTCTAAGCCCTCCCCGGGCCATGGCTGAGACCCAGAGGGACCCCGTCCATGGGGGACAGAGTGGCTGGTTCACCGTCCCAGACCAGTTCCCAGCTCGCTGCCCCCTCAGGTGAGACCTCTGCCTGTGTAACCCCAGACCCTCCCCCAGCAGCAGGACCCACCTTTGCACAGGGTGGTGCTCCCATTGAAGCGGACGTAGCCGGCCCGGCACTCACACCAGTAGCTCCCGTTGGTGTTGATACACGTGGCGTTGGGGCCGCAGATATCTGGGGTCTTCTTGCACTCGTCAGTGTCTGAGAGGGGAAAGCCGGGGGTGGGGGGGGATGTCACACACAGCACGGCTGGGGGCGCATGGGGGGCGAATGACCATGGAGGCACCCCCCACCGATTGCAGGGGGCGTGGGCTGTCGGTCAGTCTGTCTGCTCCATCTAACCCCCCTCCCCATTCTATTCTCCTTTCTTCGCTGCTATTTGCAGGGCCCCAATCCCTGCGGCACTACCCCTCCCCCACCCCCAGATCACGGGGCCCAACCTTTCCCAGACCAGGGCCCTGTGATCCCCTCCCTGCACCAGCCCTGACAGAGCGGGGTTAAGGGGGAGCCCGATCAGCCTGTTAAGCTGCAAAGGGGAAGTGACTTAGGCTGCGTGCAGGGCGCTAGCTAGAAGGAAGCTCGCCTGGGAGGGGACAGGTGGGGCTTCTATACATGCAGGCAGGTCTTGCACGGCTGGTAAACGGGTTGTTTGAAGGCAGCTGGATCCAGGGGATCCCCCTATTCCTAACACTGCGCAGTGAGCAGCAGCCCCAAAACGTCCATTCCCGGACCCTGCTGTGACCCCCAGGCCCAGGGCCCCGCGGGGCGAATCCACTGAGCCCTCGGACGGATGACGCCAGCTCGACACTCGCTGCTGATCCGGCCTGTGGAAGCCGAAGCCGGAAGAGACCTGCCCAGCCTGACCCCCAGCATAGCCCCAGCCGGAGTCGCCACCCAGTGGTTCACCAATCCGGCCCCAAACGCAGGGGACTTTACGGCCCTCGCTGCCTCCTGGAGCCTTTCGCCGCTGTGGAGAGTCTGATCTGACAGATGGGCCCCGCCCTGCCCGGGCACAGAGAGCCCTGCCGTGATCTAGCCAAACACTGGAGGGCCCAGTAGCATAGCTAGTGGGGTTCAGGGGAAGCAGCTGCTTCCCCTGACCACATTCCCCAAAAGTGGCGCCTGCAGAACGGGGCCGCGGGCTCCTGGTGCTCCGGCTGGGACTCCGGCCCTGAGAGCGTGGCCGAGGGTCTCAGTGCCCCGGACAGCACTCCGGAAGGGGAAGCGGGGTGGCCCTGCGCATGCACCGCTCCGTCTTTCTGCGGTATTTCGGCGTATGCGCAGGGCTGCCAAAAAGCCACCGAAGGACCGGTGCCTTTTTTCTCCGCCGCTCCTCCTCGGCTGCAACCATGGCTACGCCACTGGGAGGGCCGTGCACCCGTCAGGCTGCCAACGCGGGTAGCGCCAGCTGCCCGGCAAAGGGGGATACACGGGGGATGTCGGGGCTCCATGGTGCAGCGGGGTCATTCACCCCATGCAGGGAGTGGGGTTTTCTACCTAGGGACCCGGCTTGTACGTGCAGAGACGCACTCGTTCCGGCCAGCCCCTGAGGAGCCTGCAGTCCTGTCTGGGGCACTGAGAGCTGGAGAAGCAGAGCTGGGATGAAAACCCCTTGAAGTCAGTGGTGCTGCACCAATTTACACCACTGGGGCTCTGGCCCCGGCTTTGTGACCATTTCACATACGGCAGCACTGAGTTGGTGGCGACGCATGGGGGATGGGTGCATCGTCTGTCATTCCCATGACGGAAACACCCGGAAATCCCAGCCAGGAACGAGTGCTGGAATTGGACACTGCTGTGGGGGCGGGGAGGGGGGGGGGCGGGAGAGACGCCCGGTCCCTGACAGCCCTGCTCATCCTCCTCCCCGGCCTGGACCCTGCTCCGCTCCCAGAGCCAGACCTGGGCACGCTGGTGACTGTGGCTCTGAGACAACCGGAAACACCCCAGTGGATACACAGGCTGGGCTGGGGGGAGGTGAGGGCCTGAAAGCTGAGCCCCCCCACCCAGGGTTGAGACGCAGAGGGACCCCGTCCATGGGGGGCAGGGGGGCTGGCGCACCGGCCCAGACCAGTTCTCAGCTCGTTGCCCCCTCGGGCAAGACCTCTGCCTGTGTAGCTCCAGACCCTGCCCAGCTCCCCTGGTGCCCCCTCCATGCCCCCCACGGCAGGACCCACCTTGGCAAAGGGTCGTGTTCCCGTCGGAGGGGACATAGCCGGCCCGGCACTTACACCAGTAGCTTCCGTTGGTGTTGACACACGTGCCGCTGGAGCTGCAGATATCTGGGGTCTTGCGGCACTCGTCGATGTCTGGGAAGGGACAGCGGGGAGAGGGAGGAGGGGGTAACACACAGGAGGGCTGGGGGTGCATTGGGGGCAAATGACCATGGAGGCACCCCCCACCGATTGCAGGGGGCATGGGCTGTTGGTCAGTCTATCTGCTCCATATAACCCACCCCCCCGTTCAATTCTCCTTTCTTCCCTGCTATTTGCAGTGCCCCAATCCCTGCAGCGCAACCCCTCCCCCACCCCCAGATTGGGGGGCCCAACCTTTTCCAGACCAGGACCCTGCGATCCACTCCCTGCACCAGCCCTGACAGAGCGGGGTTAAGGGGGGGCCCGATCAGCCAGTTAAGCTGCAAAAGGGAAGTGACTTAGGCTGCGTGCAGGGCGCTAGCTAGAAGGAAGCTTGCCTGGCAGCGGACAGGTGGGGCTTCTCTACAGCCCGAGGGCTGGGCCCAGTGTTGGGGGCCTGAGGCGAGGGGGGCTAGGAAGGCACGAGTGGGGGCTAGGAGCCCCGGAGGAAGGGTTTCACTAGCAGGGATAGGAGAGAGGGGTCTGACTTTGAAAGGCTCCCCCAGAATGGGGATCACAGCGTGACCTGGCCGGACGGCCGAGACACGGGGCAGCCGTGACTCCGGGAGCTGCAATGGTGGACGAGAAGAAAGGGGGCACTGAACTGGAGCGAGTCACCAGAAGGGGGCGCCACACTCAGCGTTACAGACCCCAGCCAGATGGGTCCCCTCCCTGTTCGGGATACACCCAGCACCGCCCCTCCCATGGAGCACTAGGAGAAGGGTGGGTGGGGCCTGGAGGCTGAGCTCCCTGAGCCAGGGCTGAGACCCAGAGGGACCCCGTCCATGGGGGGCAGGGTAGCTGGCGCACCGTCCCAGACCAGTTCCCAGCTCGCTGCCCCCTCGGGCAAGACCTCTGCCTGTGTAACCCCAGACCCTGCCCAGCCCCCCAGGTGCCCCCTCCATGCCCCCCGCGGCAGGACCCACCTTCGCACAGGGTCCTGTTCCCGTAGGAGGGGACGTAGCCGGCCCGGCACTCACACCAGTAGCTCCCGTTGGTGTTGATACACGTGGCGTTGGGGCCGCAGATATCTGGGGTCTTGCACTCATCTATGTCTGAGAGGGGAAAGCGGGGGGAGGGGCGTGTCACATAGGGTTACCATTCGTCCGGATTCCCCCGGACATGTCCGGCTTTTTTCAGTTAAAAATAGCATCCGGGGGGAATTTGTCAATGTCCGGACTTCCCCCGCCCCCCATGCAGAGCGTGCGGGGCTTACAGGGCAGCCGGCCGGATGGTGCCACTTGCACGGGCTCTGGCAGCCAGAGCCCTTCCTTCACTTCCCCCTCCTCTCCCCTGCAACTTGAGACCACTCCCCTCCTCTCCCTAGCCCCCCGCCCTGCATTCACAGATCGCCGGCCATTCGCCTCGGCCTCCGGCAGTCTGGAGCTCCGAGCCTGCTCCCCTCCCCCACTGCCGAGCGCGCCGCTCTGCAGCACAGTAAGGGGGCCGGGGGCCAGAGAAGCGGCAGGGAGGTTCTGGGGTGGGGGGGGCAGTCAAGGAGACAGGGAGCGAGGAGGAGGGTTGGATGGGTCAGGAGTTCTGGGGTGGGCTGTCAGGGGGTGGGGGTGT